TTAAATTCAATATCTGCCTCAGGGAAGGCGGATGATAATAGTGAAACACTTTTTGAATTGCTTTTCCCCGAGCCACCACAATGTGTAACTGCTTGTTTCCTGAAACAGCAGCATTTGAAGCAAGAAGGAAAGGTCCTCCATTTCCCAGGATTTTCAGTAGTGAGCGTAGGGTTGATTTCCATGGAGAATCTGCCGCCTGGCCTTTCGTTTTGCTCCTGGTGCTGCCGCAGCAAAAGTACCAGAGACTTCATGGTTTTGTTAGCTGACCTTGTTGGAGGTGGTATCGCAGCCTGCCTCGCAGTGACAGCTACTGTTGCCTTGTTCTTCTGTGTTAATTAATATGTTTATGTTTGTTACACAGTTAATTTTAGTGTTGGTCAAACCCTTCAAGCCCGATCGCATTATATGACTTTCACACAAGCATACGTGCAAATCTGTGAAGACATAAATTGCTATGTTAGTGGATACAGTTGCGTAAATAAAGAGCATATCTGCATGCACATAAGCCACTTATAAACATCTTAAGATCTGTCCTCTCAGATGTTAGACTTCTATGCACAACTACGTTGTCATCGATTGCAATATGTATGCATAGCTTCAAATGCACATTTCTTGAAAAAGGTTAAGACTGTGCGTGGAGATCTTGATTCAAAAGTGAATTAATGTTAGTATATAGTTGCTGTAAAAATATTTAGAAGTTGAACTCTTTTCCACGGTGTGTGCTGTTACATTTTAAATCACATCCTTTATATATACACTCATTTTCGCCCTTCTTCCAGCAGTAATGAAAGATTTGGCTCAGAAACGTTAGAAGCCAAATTCCAGCCTTAAGTTTCCACTCGCCGTTGCCAGGTACTAACTCCAGAATATCTCTCTCTGCTGCGAGCCCTTCCAAAAGGTGCAGCTGCGTGCCGGTTTCGTCTTGCATGCCGCAGCCACCCTGGCAGCCCTCAGCCCTGAGGTATGTTCCGCTCTGCCCCACGCCGAGGCCTGTCTGGGCAACGGGAAGGGAAGCGCTCGCAGATGGGAGGCTCCCCGTGTCCTGCTGCATCCCATTGGCTCCCATGGAGCAAGGTAAAAATAGAGCTAGTGGGAAACGCGGCTTCTGCCAGGTGTCATCAGAAGCTCCCTTGATTTCTGGAGAGCTCTTCCCAGGCGTGGGGCTGGGAGGAAGGCGCAGACCCCGGGTGACAGCCTTGTGGAGCCTTCCTCTTCTGCAGACGGTGGGATTTCCAGAGCATTGCAGGATTGCCTGCGGAGGGGGGACATGATTGCTTTAAGTGAGAAACTGATCCTGGATTGCAGCAAAGGGATCTCCAAAGTTGCGCAGATTCTTAAAGGTGGATTTGGTTCCCCGAGCCTCGGTGCTGTGCTGCACCATGCTTCAAAGCAAAAGATACTGTTGAGATCAGGTACTAAGTGCAGGCTGCATGTGGGGTCTCCTTCTCTTTCCTCTTACTAAAAGTTTTCCTCTCCTTCTGTAAATCTCTTAATATGCATGCGGTGTTTTCCTTCAGAACATCTAATCTAGAGTCAGGACTTTCCTTAAGGATATCGTGTGTTCTGGCTCCAGAACTCATTTTTTTTATTTATTTATTTTTTTCGCCCCAAATTTAGCTGTAGTTTCTTCCTCTCTCATTTCCCGCCAGCATTTTGAAAAAGGAAGGGCACTGTACCCAAATTTCCCTGACTTCTGTGTAAGTGCTATAAACTGGCTGCAGTTCTACGGGTGCTCTTAAGTCTTTTTTCTGGCAGATGGAAGTTTCCTGAGGCCTCTCACCATTAGAGGACCGTCATTTTCTATCCTGTGCAAAAGGTGGAAAGTTTAAAGTACAAATAGCAGTACGATACTGTGGATATTTTATATAGGCAATAACAGTGATGAATAGACAATCCCAAAGTTGGTAGAGAGCTAAGTAATTTTTTTGTCAAGGCATCTCCTGAGTGCTTTTAAAGCGAATATTTTTTCCTCAGTGTTATTGAGCACTGTAGTTGTTTTTCTTAGTTGTGTTATTCTTTGATTACTGTATTGAAGGTAAATGTAGGTTTTGTTATTGCCACTGTGTGTATTGATTTGCTATAGAACTGCTGCTTGCCAGTATGCTTAATATTAAAAGGCAGGTGAGTATCCTGAGGTTTAAATCAAATTCATACTTAAGAATTTGATGGTTTAGGTATTTACAAAATAGATTCTCATTGTTTTCAATGGCTTTGTTCCTATCTGAAAGTTCACTAGTTTTCCTGGTAGTCAGAAGTTGCATGCTCTGGAGAAGAAGAATTGGATGTAGAGAAGAAGAAAAGAAATCATAACTCCTCTCTACTCTCAGAATTTTAATATTTTTTTTTCCAGTTACTTATTTTAGGGTAAGAGACAAATAGAAGAAACCCTTTATTATAACCAACCTGAGGTTTTGCTCTACACCTACAAGGCCTGTTGGCTTCCTCCCTCTGTTTCTCTTTCCTCCCTCCCTTCCCCAGCACCAGTTTAGGCTCCTAATTGCTGCTCTGCAATCGAGACGAGCGCCTGGCTTCAGAGATGATGCAATTTCATCGCTGCTCCCTACGGCGGCGAAGGGCACTTCATATAATTAGCTACCTAAGGAACAGAAAGTTATTTTCAGAACTATGTCAACTCCGTTCTTAAAACCCCCTCTTCCTTTGCTGCCATGTAAGGGTTACACTCCATGCCTTTCTGCCCAGTATTATAATAGGAGCATTTTCATAACATACCCTTTATTATGCCTCTGATCATCTGATTAGATCCTTTCAGTGGCTTGTGCATTATCATAAGGGAGTTTCATCATTTCGGGTCAGAAGGAACTGTTTGACCAGAATCTTACAAGTCAGATAGTCTGTGTTTCAGCATGTCTCAGCAGGGCCCGGAATAGAGTGCCTTGTGTTTGAGCCCAGCTTGTGTTTGGTAAAGCAGAGACGGACATGAATAGATGAAAAAATATCTCTTCCTTCCATAGGTAATTTGTTCTGCACTAATGACTATGTTTGGAGTTTGGCAGGTTGGCTAAATCTTCATCAACTCAACACATGCTTTTAAGCCTGTATTTAAGTTTCAATCAAAATGTTATACTGAGTCAAATATCTGTCAAAACTTCAGAGTTTATTATCATTAGTCATTTGCATTTTTCAGCTAACTCTGATCCCATCAAGGAAGGAAGTGGTGTGGTTTTTAGCAGGACCAATCCTCTGTGAAGCTCTGCAGGCAATCCCTAGTAACAGTGCTGCCTTTGACTGCTTTATCCTAGGAGTGTGGTATCAGGTTTTCCATTATTTTGTCCAGCTCTGGTATTATATCTAGCGTGTAGTCATCAGGGTCATCTTACTTGTCCTCTCAGAGTGCAGATAGAGCAGTAAACCTCTTTTGATCCCCTGGAGTTGCTCTGATTTTTCCATGATTCATTAAGAAGTAACAGCAGTAGGCCAGAAATCTCTGTGGGCAACCCTTTGGGGACTCCTGCATGCTCATTTTCTGAGCCTCCTAAGTTAAGCTTTTATGACTAACAGATGTTTTTCTAATGTCTTTTTTAGTTATGAATGGACTGGAAAGTATTTCATCATTATCATACCATCATTCTGCCTTTTTTTTTCTTTTCTTTCTTTTTTTTTTTTTTTTTGCAAGTCACATGTCTCAATGTGCAGTATGTTCCGCTTCCATTATTAGTTTATAAATAATCATATTTTATTTAAGTTTAACTTTTCCGTTTTCTGCCTTTCCAAACCTTTTCTAGACTTTCCTACCTACCTTTCCTATGTTTAAATTGTGCTAAATTTTAGAGAGAGTTCTAATTCCTGTCTTCAAAATAGTGTGACTTCTCATCCCAAATATTTTTTCTCACTTGTGGCATGTTTAATTTTCTGGCTATCCAGAATTTTTCCTTTTAAAAAAAAACCAACAAAACAAAACCTTTCTGTTCCCATTCTGCTCGTTTCCCTCCTAGCTAGTTATGCTCCTGATTTTGTTCACTTTCAGTCTTCTAGGAATACAGCATGTGCATACGCATGCACGCACATCTAGGCGTGATGAATTTAATCAGGCCAAGATCACCACCTCTTGGCAACTGGCAGCTCCTGCTCCAGCGATTAAGCTGTGTTTATCAATCGCAACCCAGCAAAGTTTGCCAGGTGTTCCTGGCAGCTGTTTCATAAGAATACCCATGTATAAATGCTCTTGTTTTCCAAGAATTAAAGAGGGCTGATTTAAAACTCTGAAATAATTATTTTGTTAAAAATAGTGGATTTGGAGATAAATCATGCCTCATATGACAGAGCCAGAATGTTCCTTTACACAGCATGCTCCTTCTGTGAAGAAAATCAGTGTGCAGGATTGTTTGAAGCTGCAGGATGCTCCTTTTGGATCATCCCACAATTTGTTCTTCCCTGATCATTATTCAAAACAAATATCTTGCTTCAAGAAAACTGTATTGTTAATACTATTAGGGTTGAAAAAATGAAAACAAACTGAAATTATCACTGAGCTTTTCTGTGAGTATTAAGACTTGTTTCGGCAGCTCGTTTGGGCCTTTGCACATTTGTTTCCCCAGGGGATCAGCAGCTCCCCCATGGTGGTGTGTTTAGCTCCCCCATCTGGTGCACACTGGATGTTAACGTTTCAGGACAAAAGAAACTATTTCTCTGACTTGAGTTGTATTTCTCTTTTTTTTTTTCTTCTTTTATATATATATATAAATTGCAAACATCTATTGTATTTTCTGTGGTTGTGTTAAGGGTGATTCTAGGAGTGATTTAGATCTCTAAGAGAAGATGCCATGAAAATGCAGTTGTCATCATTTTTATTCAACTCTTGAGTAGTTGTGTGGTGTTCTTTAGGCTCGGCGAGTGGGATGTTTGCACTGTCTCCACAGCTGATAAAATTAATTTGTTCAGTGCTTAAAAATTAACTGGTTGCATTATGTGTCATGGCTTTCATAAACGGAAATCACTTTCAACTGTAGCTTAGCTTTTCTTTTTTAATTTTTCTTTTACAGCTGTTTCCCTTCCAGATCTTACCGAGCAGTTTTCACCTCCTGATGTTGCTCCTCCAATCCTCATCAAGATAGTGGAGACGATTGAAAAGAAAGGTAAGCTGAAGACCTGGAAGGGTTTTTGTTTCTTGTGTTAGCCAGGACAGCACTCAGATTTAGAGCTGTTAATGCATCACATTACTCAACTGATAGGAAAATAATCGAATTTGAGGATTATTGTGTTGGTTTCTGCTCCTCAGAGGCTACTTGCATTATAGGAGCAATAGCAAAGCTTACTCCAAGTGACATTTAGTAATTTAACTAATGCAAATACTACTGAAATTGATGGGAGTGGTTGATTTTTTGCTGTTTTTTTTTCAGTAGATGAATACCTCAGGTTACTCCATCCTTTTGAGGCTCTCCCCTTTCTTCTACTGTGCCCTCTCTTCTACCCTTCATTTCTTACTTTGGCTTCTCCTCTGACGGGCAGCCCTCGCACTGTAAGGAGCTGCCCACAAGATCCTGCTCATTCAGAGGCCTTGAAGCCTGGGTGGGAGAGGGAGAGTGGTGGTTTGATCAGAATCAGACTGCTGTGCTTGGGACACGGCACCTCCCCTGGTGCTGTGAGGCTTTAGGAGCCTACAAACTCCTATAAAAACATGCAGGTGCTTGCTTTCCTCAATGAGAGGAGCCAGGGTTTAGTGACAGCTTGCATAAACGGGTATGACTTCCAGGAAACCCTCATAATACAGTTAAATCATTGATATTCTGGATCACTGTCTATGCTCTTTCCATGCCTGTCCTGTTGTGCAGGAGAGATGAAACATCTGCATTTCTACAGCTCTCCATCACTTTTCTTACCGTATTTGAACACAATTCTGAGACTAACACTGTGAAATCCACTTAAAAGACCTGATGTTTCCACCTAGCATGTGTAAACACAGATCTGGGTACTCCCATATCTCCTATAAGCTGTTTTCTTCCCGGGATGTGTGTGTCTGTTTCCTAGTTCTGGCCCTCTAAAGTTAGCCCATGGAGAGCTCTAAAGAACACATGAGTCTCCCTGGATCTCTGATCCTTCCTGGTCAGTAATTTCTTCAGATTCAGCAGTTTGCATGTGCAAAGAGATGTATTCTTGCCCTAAAAAGCAATCACATTCAGTCGTTTAATATGTTGCAAGAGGATAGTGGTGGGAGAATGTTGGAATGTTTTGAAAAAAATAATAATGTTGTTTTTTGCCAACAGTTATAGGAATATTAATGTCTTCTCCCATTGATATTGTTTTGAAGGTCTGGATTGTCCAACTTTATATGGAACGCAAGGCTCAAGCAGCTCTGCAGAATTAAGACAAATTCTTGAAAGTGGTAGGTACAGCTTTGCCTTAATGCCTTAGATTTTTGTGCTGAGATTGATCATGTTTTCTTTGCTCCGCTTCTCAGCTTATATATGATCAGTTTCTGAATCATACAGCATAAAACCCAATTTAAAGGAAAATCTTGGTAATTTTTAAGCTTAGTATAGAAGGTATTTTTCACAAGTATTGGTTGTGTCATTTTTTTCATGGCTCCATTGCCTGTTTCTTCTTTCAGGAACAATTATTTTAATCATTCTTTTGTCATTTACTTGTTAAAGGACTAAAAATCTACCTGTACAAAAAAAAGTTGGTTTTTGTGAGAGGCCAGAAAAAGATAAGCTATTCCTGTAAGTCTGCAGGTTAATACGCAGTGCTGTGCATGCATTTGTGCAGCCTTTCTGCTTCCTTTGGTCCAGTCACTGGAGAGGCAATATCTGAACACCTGCTCCATGGCACAGAGATTATGGTGGAAGGAAAAGGAAAGTTAAATTGAGGGAGAATTGAATTGACAGGGGAACTGATGTCACTGCAGTAGGCAGGCAGGGTTTTAGACAGTAAAATGCAGCTACCCAAGTAGCAGTGCCCTGCCACCACTACATACCTGTTCTTTTCTCGTATGTGCTTCTGTTTCTTCTAGCACACTTTTTTTTCCCTCTTTCGTGCTGGAGTGACACGACAGCCCTGAGCTGCTCTGTGAGAGATGGAGAGCTGCTGTTGCAGTGACAGTGCTTGGCCACACCTTGCAGGCGAGCTGGGGTGCGGCTGTGAGCTTCCTCTTGCATAAAGGAACCCCAAAATACAAGGGCTAAGAGCTGGAACTGGTTACATGCAGTCTCACCAAGGGTTTGGAAAGCAAGCAAGCTCAAACTGTGAATTCAGCACTTTTCATTTTTAGTAATTGCAAGTGTTAACAAAACGAACTAGAGATGATATTTTGAGCTGGCTGTTCCTTCCAATCAGAAGAGCATCCTGTCCTCTTTCGTTTTGGTGGCAGGGAAGCAGTGTATGGGTGCATGCAGGGCATGGGCATGTGCATGTCGTGCTAGCAGACAGAGCATTATTTTTAATATTGTAGTTGTAGTTTTCAGTACAGATAAATCCAGATTTTCCAAAGCACCAATACTAATGTATTTCATAACTTATCCCTTGTTGAGTGTCTAAACGGACATGCACTTTTATGCTGTCTCCCAAGATTAAAGATTTGTGGTTTGCATGTATTCTTATTTAAAATACAATTATCTTTAAGAAAATGAAAATAGGACTTACCCTTTAGTAACAGACTATCTTTCTCTCTTATTTTGAGAAAAGATCCAAATCTTCCAGGACAAAGCCAGTATAAGGGGTCTTCAGACAGATGGATAAACAGCTCTGATCTCTGCCTACCATCTAAGTTAGCAGAGTGCCAGTCGGTTCTGTTCTCAAAGTTGAGCCACATTAGTGTGCTGTTGTACTTACAATTAAAAAGCTCTTCATATTAATTGGATAACTGCCCATTAGCTTCAACACAGTGTTATCTGGCTCCGAAATCAAATCTGACTTGCATCTGGCCGGCTCAGCAGACATGAGAGTTCAGATCTGGTTATGATGTTACACCAAAAGAGCTGTGGAATACCAGAAATTTATTCTTACTAAAGCATTGATGATAATTTGTGATATACTTCAGAGAATGGTTCACAGCGAGAGAGCTAATGAAAACTATTTCCTGTAAATTTGTGGTCGGATTCTGTGATGCCTAGTTACTTGTTGCATCTATGCTGCAGTTTTTTTTTTTTTGCTTTCTGAGCCATTCATAATGTCTATGTTCCTGTGTGGATTCTTCAGTATCTCATAAGGATTGAGTTCATACTGCAAGCTTTTTGTTGGGGAAAACAGGAAGGAGGAGGAGGAGGAGCAGCAGCAGCACTGAGTGCCTCACTGTCCTCACTTGACTGCCTCTTTCACAGCACTTGTAGACATACATATCTGAGACCTCAGCTATCTGAGGCCTCTGTGGAGTTTGGTTCAGAATGGCCAAATAGGTTGAAGACTTATTTTACAGAGAACTTGACAAACCTGAAAAGTCTGTCAGTGTTAATGACTCTAAATTATTACCAAACATGGATTTTTTGGTAATCATTTGAGTCTTTTCTGGACCAGTTTCATGTTTAAGAGGAGACTGAATTTTACTTGAATTATGCAGGCACTTCTGAATTTGCCTGATATTCTGTTAGTCCTGCATGTGACGCTCTTAAACACTACTTCAAGTCATAACCATGCTGGAAGAACACCAGTCTTTACAGGAGAGATCCTAATTGCTGCATAAAACACCAAACACCCAATTCTGCATGTGCATATTTGTTTCCACTTACTGACATAAATATTTACAGACTTGGGGCCTCAAGTTGTTAATGTAGCTTCTAGCCATAATAGAAGTAGCTACTAGTAGAAAAGCTGCATTTGACCAAACCCCTGATTAATACTTCTAACACAAAATATTTACAGATAAAACACAGACTTGTTAAAAATATTCTGCTGTTCCATAACATTGCCAACATACAGCATGGCACTACCATTATTTTGAGTCTCAGTTCAGCCCTGCAGAGCATATGACTGGAGGCCACATGTGGCTCTGGAAGCCATTTGGTCCCTCAGACACCAAAAAAGCCTGTCTGTTGTATTATGCACTGTGTATTGTTCATCTCAAATATGTGTCTCAGAGGATTTCTTCTAAGCTGTTTGTTGTAAAACAGATACAGGTTAGCAGATTTGACTTGATATAAAATGATACTATCATGATCCCTTATATTTTTCTGGTTTCTCTATCTGAAAAATATTCTTTTTTTCCTTTAGATGTTTCTTCTTTAGATTTAGAGACATTTGATGTGCACAGTTTATCAGATGCTCTCAAGAGGTATCTCCTGGACCTGCCCAATCCTATCATTCCAGCAGCTGTTTACAGTGACATGATTTCTGCAGCTCAAGGTATGAATATAGAATATTTCAAACGTCAAATAAAGAAAAAGTTTTGTTAAAATTCTGAGTATCCAGTGATTCAGCTGCTTCATTGTCTCCCACAGAGTAAATGGAAGATTCTGCACACCCTGGCAAAGTCTCAGAAAAAAAAAATGTGTGCATTCACTGATTTTAATGAAAGCTGCTTCAATTCATATACAGAGATGGATTACTTACTTCTCTATTTATGCAAACATAATGGAAAATATAAGGGTTAACACAATTCTCTGTCTTTTTTAAAAGTGGAATCTCTATAGAAGAAATGGGGGGAAAAATCAAGGACTTATCTGTATGCAGAAAGCTAATTTTTAACTTTTTATCAGTGCAGACAAAGTACATGAATTAGAGGTCATCATGTTCTGCAGTACGTGGGGAGTTACCGATTACAGAGTGACAAATAGGTGCATATAAGATTCATCATCTACACAGTGGTCCTTTTGGACAAGTGCAGCTTACTGGCTTTCAGCACGTGGGCCAGGTCTTCTGTTGTATGTCTCGGGACAGGATATTGTTACTGGTAACCTTCAAAGTTAGAACAGCACCTGTGAGACTTATCTAGTGCATCTTAGAATTACCCAATCATGTGTGACACTAAACACAAGACAGATTCTACCAGTACACTCTGCACACATTGTGGTTTTTACCAAAATGCATATCTGTTTCCATTTGACTTTGAAATACTTGTTCTTTACTGTTCCCTGAGCATTTCACTTTTTTTTCTTCTAGAAGAAGAAACAAGTCTAAACAGCACTAAAGACAGAATTTACACTTTTTTTCTTCTTTTTTTTTTTTTTGAAAAATTAATGCTTCCAAAGGAGTTACATTCCAGTTTCATTTTACTGGTTGAATGTTCCTGTGCTGATATCAAGAGCCTTTTATCTGTTTGCTTGCAGAAGTGCAGAGCTCAGAGGAATATGCTCAGTTGCTGAAGAAACTCATCAGATCTCCAAATATACCTCCCCAGTATTGGCTCACACTCCAATATTTGCTCAAACATTTCCTCAGACTTTGTCAAGCCTCCAGCAAAAATCTCTTGAATGCAAGGTCTCTAGCTGAAATTTTCAGCCCTCTGCTTTTCAAATTCCAGATAGCAAGGTATGTGGGAGATCTTTATTTTCTGTATTGTAAACTTGGGTTCGCTACATACAAAAGTAGGCAAAGCAACTTACTTCTCTGACCTTACTTTTGCTGTGCTTTTTGGAAGGCATTAGTATAAATTTTTGCAATGCTTTTTGAGTAATGCTAAGAAAAACTTTTGCACTTTCCCTGGTTCTTATTGTCTAATCCATCTCTTGCAGCTCTGACAATACCGAACACCACATAAAAATCTTAGAGGTTTTAATCACAAGTGAATGGAATGAGAGGCAGCCTGTACCAGGTAAGAAATCGTTTGTACTTTTAAAAGTTAATATACTCTTGTTTTCTTAAATATTAAAATTCGTCATATGGACACCAAATTGTCCTATTTTAAATTACATTTACTTAATGCAGAACTGAATAATTACTGAACTGTGTAGAAATGGTTTATATGTATGCAGCATTTGTTTTATAAATTTTGCAGTGAAATCATTTCAGAATCCATCATTTATATGCTCTTAGGACTTTTGTTGCATTTTCATTAAGTATTGAATAGGAATTTGTGAACTTTTATTACTTGCAAACCACTAGAATACATATCATTAAATGCATAGGAGGGGGAAAATTCTGAAGATGTGACTAATCTCTTGCTGTAGACCTGGCCAAATTTTCTTGAAAATACTGTAGTCCACAGGTCATCTGAACAAACTTAAATTTGACCCTGTGTTTACTTGCACATATTTTTAAATCCAGGGTCTTGAGATCTTTATTTGTCAATATCAGGAAACATCGCAGAAGATATTAATGTCCTATCAGGAAAATTAGATGACACTTTTTCTGACTCTATGAGGGTGCATGTAGTTTAGTCAACAAACAGTAAGACCTACCTCTAATTTATGCAAAACCCACTGTTTTTAAACCAAATATTTGGTATGAGCAAAGCAGAGTTGCCAACTGTGTGCAAAGGAAATTGTTAATTCAGGGGACTTTAGGCAGTAGCTTAAAGTAATCCTTTTTACAGCTTATTGACAAAGAATATCCTAACTAAGGATCGGGGCTGGTGAACAGATTAGGCATATTGTAGCTCTCCCACCTCTCCATTAAAAGCACAAGGTAAAGTTCATGTCAATGGGATTTGTAGGGCTGTTTAAGATTTGAAAAATTAAAGCACTCTGATCGCTTGAAGCAGGCCTTTCCAGCAGCACTGTATATTTTTTGTCACTATGGTTTCATTTAAAAAAAAAAAAAAAAGAGCCCAAACTTTAATGTCTTATTTTACTACTATAAATAATACTTATTTAACTATTGTGAAAGAATGATTTTATCTTGCCGCATGGTAAAAGCCTTAAAAAGGCAAATACTCCAGTATTCTAAAGACGTTGATAATAGCACTTTTTGAAAATACATGTTTAAAAACACTTTTGGATATTTAAGTTTATGTGGCTTGAGGCAGTGGGGGGGATACAGAGGTAGGATCAAGAAGTGTGGAATTCTGAAGTTGTGCTTAAGAGATCAGTTAGTTGCATTTAGTCATGAGTTGCTTTGTACTAGTAAGTGAAAGGTGTTTATGTCAGACCTGCCAATGAGGATAAGGAGTTTAGTCATCCTGAGAGTATCTTAATATATGTTTCACTAGAGCCCTTGAAATGCAGCTGTATCCATCAAAATTATGAATGAATTAATGTTTTGTAATGCAGTTGGTTGTTCTGAGGGTCCTTCTGGGATTTTTCATGTGATCCATTACCAAAAAAAGAACTCTTTTCATATGTATTTCAGAGTCCATGCTGGACAAGAGAATGTATTTTAGTAGAGCATTTGCAGATTTATTAATATGCTGAAAAAATTAGATGCAGATTTTCAAACTTTGCAGCCTGTAGTTAATTAACTTCTACTCTAAGGCCTGTAAAGCACTTGAATGGTTTTCAGAATGAGTATTTAGAGAATCTTAAATGATTCTTTACCAGATTGGGAAACAAATCTATTTTTTCCCCAAAAATCTGTCCTGTGATTGCCTTAAGTGCCTAGTTTTTATAGTTCTTGTAGAATCCTGTGGGTTGTATTTTTTAGAATTATCAGCTCCAAGATTATTACTTACAGTGGCTTGACCTTCCATCAAAAGTGTTTTGAGGTATTATAATAAAGGAATAATCCTAGAACAGATAATTTATTTCTTATATAAGTGTTCTTAGCAGAGAATACAGATCTATAATAGCATTGCTCATAATTTAAGAAGTTTTTAGCAGAAAGAATCTTTTTTGTTGAGGATAATTTAATGACAGCTGAGTGATAACAAGTAAGCCAGTGCTGCCAGGTTTAGTTTCTACTGACTGTTTTCGCATCATGTCACCCAGTAATTATCCTTCTTGCTTCCGAACAATAGGAAGTACACAAACAGAACCAACATCTTAACTTGGGCATTTTATGGCTACAGTGATGCTTGCTGTGCACTCCCTAGTGCAAAGCCAGGAATTTCTGTCAGACCCTTAATTGATTTATTTTTGTTGTTGCATAACTCTGGACTGATATTTTTCTTGTCACAGCGTTCAATGAGAAACTATGTGTTTTTATGCGTGAATCAGAATAGAGGCTAGTCCTGCGTGAGAAAAGTACTGATGTTAAAGTCTGTAGTATGTGAAGGCAAAATAACGTTGCAAGCGAATATCCTATTTTAACACTCAAATTTTAACAGGCAGTCGCAGAAACATTAAAAATACACTGAAAAAATGAGTTTTTTGTAGGCAGAGAGCGGGGCTGGGGGCATTGCAGATCGTCTTGCTGATGGGGAAGCAGCGGCGGGTCGCCGAGCTGTGCATGGGAGCTCTGGGGCCGCGGCCAGCAGGCAGGGAGCGAGCGCCCGGCACCCGGCCCGGCGGGGCCCGCGGCAGCTCAGCGCCAGCAGCCCGCTCACACGGAGACACGGGGGGCGCTGGGTGGTGGTTTGGGGCAGAGTCCTGGCAGAAGAGCCCAAACGCAGGCACTCTGCCTGCAGCCGAACATAACGTAGGAGCTTTGATGGAGTCATAACCACTGATGGAGTCATAACCACATCGGGGAACGCGCAGGCCAGTGCTGTTGCTCCTGAAATCTGCTCCCGAGCCCCCATTTTCTGCATGGCTCCGGATCAGCTACAGCCCTGGCTCGCAGCAGCTCAGGGGCACAAGATGCCCTCCCTTTTTGGGTCTCTTTTTTGCAAAGTTTCCTCAGTGCAGCCGGACTGTCAGCCTTTGCCAGGAGTATTGTGGTGTGTGCGGAGAAGAGGGTGCCAGGGCTAAGCTGAGCTTTACGGCGCGCTGCGCGCCCGCTCCGCACCCGGCAGAGGGCCCCCTTTCTTAGCTAATAAAATCCCGTGCTTTATTCCCGATTGAGCAGGGAACAGGGCGCCTTGCTGACCATCCCCGGCCTAGCCTTGCTGAATCCTTGGGCTGGATCTTGACAGCAGTGTATACTGCATGTTCCTCGATATCTAATTATAAAAGTATTTAACGAACCCAAGGCATCATGCATGGCATTGCTACAAGTTTCTGTGGATTAGTGCTATAAATGTATCTGAATATATGTATGTATATGTCCATACGTGTGCATGCACGTGCATCTACATCAGTTCCTTGTCCTGCTTCATGCATTACCAAAACAAAAAAATCCTTTGTAGATCAGGACACCTTAAGTATGATGCAAAAATGTAGCTCTGCTAATGCATATCTATAGATTTAATAAGCACCAAAGTGATGAATTCCTAAATTTAAATAAAAGTTAAGATGAGGCAGTTGTGAGAAACTATAGATTTGTGCGCATCAGTACCTTTCTGTTGACGAAGCATGTGATCCAACTCCTATTTGCACAGGCATTGTAATTAATAATAAAGGTGCCCTCGAACTTGGGAACCACAATTTTTTTGTCATCGTTCTTTCAGAATACACTTACATACCATGGTCATATTAACTGAAAAGTGTATTACCCTTTTCTGCAATTTTTTAGCAGTAAAAAGGAGACATGTCAATTAATGTCAAAAGTTGGGTTTTCTTCTCCTGTGTATTGTTATTAGTTCAGAAACACAAATTAAAATCTCTGTTTGAAGTTGGCTGCACTTTTATGAGTCTGGTGCCTTAAATGATGTACAGAACTAGCAGTTTTTTAGTAGGGAAAGGCCAAAACTAGAAAAGCAAAGAATTGTTCTAAGTGAAATATTCAATTAGCTATTAAATACTGAAAATATACTGCAGATTTTTGGGGTTTCAGTGGAAGGGATAGGTGGGTTTTGGTAGAGAAGCTGGGGGAAATATTCATGCCCTTCGTGCCCTTCTCTGAAGGGAACGCTTTGGTCGACTTCCCCTTTCGCTTGTGTGTTTTCCCATGTGAAAGTGCAGCCAGGAGGAAGCCCACTGCGGGGCAGGGGCTCTTCCCTTGCTGCCCCACTTCTTCAGCGACAGTGACGCTCGGCCAAGCCGGCAGCCAGGGAGATCCCAAGATGTGCACCTTTCCCCGCCTGCCTGATGGAGAAGCAAAACGGAGCAGCCCGAGGTGCTGCAAAGCACCTGGAACAGGGACAAATATTGGGTGAAATGGGCGAAAAGCATCCTCACAAGGGGCTGGGGCAGCCCCCGTGTGTGCAGGGACTGGGGAGGTGCCGCTGAGCTTGCCAGCGAGCCGTCCTGCGCGGGGCTCACCTCCCAGGTACCGCTTTATTCTAGGAAGATTTTACTCTTTTCTATTTTTTTTTTAAATTTTTCTGCCCCAAGTTAGCCACTTCCTGCGCTTTGGCTGTGCCTAGTGCTTTTCTTGACTTCGGTGCTGCGCTCGGCAGCCAGGGGCTGAGGCTATTTTAAGGCCTCTCACAATGGTCTTCTCATGCACTTGGCTGAAATGAGAAAGTTCGCCCTGCATTGGCCACTCGGGCGCTGATTGACAACTTTTCCTTTGAATCTGGGCCCCCTCCCCCACTTGAAATCCCTGGCTCAGCAAATATTTGAACCTGCCCAAGTTAATCATGAAACTGAGATCATTATCTGAGAGAGACGTGCGAGCTACTGAGGGTGGCTGCTTTTTTTTTCTCTCTTTTTTTTTTTTTTTTTTTAACAGTACTAAAGTCAGGTTCACTTTTTAATGATGAACCAGAGTAAGCGGATACCTTCTGCACAGCACAGAGCTCTCTGAAGTTGAGAACAGAGCGAAGGCTTGGATTTTCTGACTGCACCTTACAGCTTTTTTTAGTGACTTTTATGAAGCATTGATTAGAAAGCATAAGCTTTTTTTAAAATTTTTTTAAATCTTTTTTTTGTTTAGTTTCTTCAGAGAAACTTCCTTAAAAAAAAAGGTTTTTCTTTTTTTTTTTGTTTTGCTTTCTTCTTTTAGAAAGATTTCTATAAGAGGAAACCACTTAATTTTTCAGGTTATTGGATTGTATTTTCAGACTGTATTACAAGGGCGAGCAGTTGTGATGCATAATTTACAAAGTAAGTGATTCTGAATTTCTGTGTGCTTTTTTTATCACCTTGTGGAAGTACTTTACTGTAGCTGATTGCCAGGTAGAGATTTCATGGTCTTAAGATATGTGAATGAAAGGCGAGTGCTCAGCACCTTTCCAGGTTGTGCAGAGGCAATGGAAAATCCCCTCTCTGCCTCCTGCCTTTTCCTGCCTGAAAGCTGGGTTAGTTTGGGCTGAGCAGCAATGTGATTATACAAGTGTGGGCAGTCCAGAATTTGGCCACCGGTGAAACCCTGGGGACTTATTTTTTCCTGAAAGCCTTTATTCAAAGGAGTAACAAGTCTCACTGATCCCCTGTAAAACTTCAATGCAGCAATATAGTCGTTGTCAGAAATCTTTTATAACCTAATTTAAATAATTACCTTGGCAACTCGAGTGTTTGGGCAGCAGGTGGGCTAAACCTTCGAGTTCAGTGTTTGGGCTTGTGTCTGGGATGATCTTAAGTATCTTATTACGCTCTGGAAATGGAAGGAATCTTTGGAACATGTCTACCTAACCAGGGAGGGGAAAATGAATTGAAGCTGAACATATAAGCAAAGTGGCATGTATGGGTTTTTTTGTTGCTCTTGGTGCTGCAGCCCTGTTCTTGCATGTTAATGCTTGTCCAAAGCGGGTGAGCTGCTGAAGGACACAGAGGGTGGGTAGATATGGGTGAAATATTTGGGAAGGGTATAAATTGGATTAATTTTTAATGAGTGTATATGAGACAGAGCATATTTGAGCCGCACGAGGATTTCTTATGATGTAGGCGCTGATAGTTGCTACAGGGACTTTTTGTTGTGGGTATTTTTGGGATCTGTTTTTCTGCCCCCATAGATTATGGGGAATATAAAGCATTCGGAGTGCTCTCCATAGCGTTCTGCTCTGGATTAGTAGTATATTCTGCACATGTTTCTTCCAAGAGCTCGGAGACTTAGTCGGTGATGGGGGGAGTTAAGAAAGAATCTTCCTAAGCAGCAGGAAGATACTGATGACATGGACTCCAATTAGGAAGAAGACACTGACAAGGACTCTTGCTTTTCAAAACAATTAAAATGAGAAATATCTCAATGAGAGCAGGGCAGAGAAACAGTGTGAAAAGGCAGACTAAATCTTGGTTTATCCTGACAGACCATCTTTTTATGTTCAGCAAAATTATAATTCAAGATCTTTCTCAATGCTGACTCTCTTCAGTGGTTTAAGAAAGCCACTGTTGAGATTTCAGAATTAGCTAGTCCAGATGATTACTCTTGCATTGCATTACGGAATGATACAGATTTAAAAAAAAGACTTCTCTGTAGTGAGTACGTTTTGTTCAGTGATGGCAGATGTGTCAATGCTTTGTGTTCCTAAAGACACAGGGATTTGCGAAGTTTGAAAATAGAGTTTATATTTTAAAATGTGCATGTATATGTGCATGTGTGTGTGTAATAGATATTTACACATAGATGGAGTCGTGCTGTAGTTCCCTGTCCTGTCTGGGTGTATGCACAGGAGGTGCACATGCTGTTGAGGCTCCCTGAACGTGAACGTGACCCTCCGTGGGTCTGGGTAGGAGCGTGAGCCCGAGGAGGGGCCCTGCGCGGAGCTGCCTGCGCGCGCCCAGGGCGGCAGCACAGCAGCCTTTGTCACCCTGCCAGGCTCCCGCTGCACCGGGGAGCCGGGAGCCGGCAGCGGAGCCGGCGGCAGGGAGAGCCGCTCCGGCAGGGAGAGCCGCTCCGGCTGCCGCTCGGCCGAATGCAGATTCTTTCTGAAACCGAAATTGTTTGGAGATTAATGTGGAAGCGAATGATGAAGCAGGAGGGGTCTGGTGACATTATGTTGACAGGATTGGCTGAGGAGCATGATGTAATAGGTTACAGTGCAGCCCCTTATAGGTTTTAAAATGAATTCCAAGACACCATTACAAAGAGAGCCTGACTCTTTTCTTATATCTGAGCTTACTCAGTGAAACTCATACAAATGCACAATACTGTTTGGAATATGGAAGAACTGGATATAGACTATCCTAAGACAGATATAAATTGTGGCACAGACTTGATGTTTTACATAGAAATGGATCCACCAGGTAAAGCTGCAGTCTTATTATGGAAGACTAAATCATTCTGGTCTTTACGATAGCTGCTGAAAAATCCTTAGTAGATATTTAAGATTTATTTACTTTGTCATTCATTCAGACGGTTTTCCTTTTTGTCTTTTTTGGTTTTTATATATATTTGAATTAATTTGTATTTTAGTGCATGGTTATAGTAATTAGAATCATAACCTGTAGAAATACCTGTCTGCTTACTTATCTGCTTTTTTTTCTGAATTGACCTGTTTCTGTTTCATTTTTATATTGTCATATGTAGCTCTAGCTCTGCTATTATATTCTAAAAATGTTGCATTTCTTTTATTATTACTATTTTTGCTATCTATGCTCCACATTGTGGCTAAAAAGAGAGATGCTGTAAGACCACTTGTATTTCCTGAAAAAGTGATTACAAATCATTGTTTTAGATTGTTCTAGGAAAAGCAGATTTTAAAATGTAACTGTTAACTGCATTTCTGATATCACATCATTTTATCATATGATATTAAAAATATTAAGCTGTCCTGTCATTCATTGCAATTATAAAAGCAGCGGCTTCTGTAGCCGGGCTTATTACACATCAAGGCATGTTTGCAAGGAATGTTATACTCACTAGAGAGCTGAAAGAGCTGCTTTGATTTTTAATCCTCTTTCCCATGTAGCCCCCCTTGCTAGCAAGCCAGGAGTGCTGCAGTATCTTCCCTGGCTCTCGCTGGCATACGTATGCAGCTTTGACATTGAGAAAGGGGGATGTGGTTTTTAATCAGTCCTGACACTTGGAGCACCATTTCTTCTGTAGAATGCTAAGATTAACGCAAGGGATATATGGGTCACAGAGGGGTTTCTGAAAGTGGGTTTCAGCGAATCGTTGCGCAAATTCTGAGTATCGGAGAAATCAAATTCTGCCGAAAATGTGCAGCATTGCTGTGGGTTTGCATTTTTTTTTTCAGTCATCTAGGACCTAGGTGAGAAAATAGCATCATTCCTCTAACATCATTGTATAGGAGGAAAAAAAGAGATTTTACAGTTTAGTATTAATATTCATGTAAGGACAATGGAGGGAGGTAAAAACAAACTTCAGATTTTTTTTCCAAATGCTTTCTTGACTTGGGGGGAGATATGATGTTGTTTTGCATAAAATATGTTATTGCAGGAGTGATATACTTTTTGAAGTGCATCTTTCTTGTTGAATTTTCTTTTCCAGCAAATTATCTTGATTCTTTTAGCACCTTTTAAAGACTGTTAGTCTCAGCTATTCATATTCATTCATTTTTTTTCCTCATTCACATGCTAAGGTAAAATTTCAAGGTATATATGGTCAGGTTTTCAGTGAGTTGTAATGAACTTTTTCTCCTTTCATCTGCAGCACTGCCTCCTAAGCCACCAAAACCTAATACTGTGACTAACAACGGTATGAATAACAACATGTCATTACAAGATGCTGAATGGTACTGGGGAGATATCTCAAGGTAAATCACCTCAAGATGTATAATTCCTGTATTCGCTTTATCTTCTTGCTGTGCTATTTTATATATGTATATTCTGTTTAAGCATAGAAGAATTATACTTAAGACCCAGTTTTAGAATATTTTTCAACACTTAACATATCACAGCTGGTTTTGTGCCAAACATGACTAAAAAGTTATTGGCAGTTAGAATGTAATATGTAAAATTATTTGCTGCTTGTTGTATTATTGTAGGACAACTATGTGAAATGAGAGGACAATACTAAGAAATAAATATTTTCTTCTTTTCTTCCATTGAGAACCTCAAATCCAGGCACAATAGATAATCAGCCAGACTAGCAAGTGCCATATATTAGCAACATTTTTAACTGTGCTATATATAGGCACATTAGACCAGCACTGGCTTCTCCAATTGCCTGGGCTTGTATGAACAAGCAGAAAGACCTTTGCATTAATATTATTTTGTTCCAACAGTCAGAGGATATTGAGGATACCATTTTTATATTCCATTTGTTCCCCAGTAATATTATATAAGCTATTAAGTAACTGTGGTCATATGGAGATCAGGAAGGCTCTTAAAAGAATCGTTCTTTTAAAGCAGGAGAAATTAGAGCACAGTGAGAGAAGAAATGAGTGAGCAGTAGCTGAAATCATTGGTGGCTTTTGCTTTCATTTTAGGGAAGAAGTCAATGAGAAGCTTCGAGATACTGCTGATGGTACCTTTTTGGTACGAGATGCTTCAACAAAAATGCATGGGGACTATACCCTTACACTAAGGTATGATAGCTGCACTAGACCGGTGACACTTCTGTATTCATGAAATATTAAATTTGAAAATGCACGTTCTTTGGGAAATAGTATTTGAATTGTGTCTGACTTCTCCACAAACTTCATTTGCAGGAAAGGAGGAAATAACAAATTGATCAAAATATTTCACCGAGATGGGAAATACGGCTTTTCTGACCCCTTAACTTTCAACTCTGTGGTCGAGCTAATAAACCACTACCGGAATGAATCTCTAGCCCAGTATAATCCTAAGCTGGATGTAAAATTACTGTATCCAGTATCTAAGTACCAGCAGGTAATTTGGTCTATTTTCTTTCTGTGCCACTTAAATACAGAGAAGTTATTACAACCTGAGGTGTCACTGATTATGAAGAACCTCACGCCTGTTGATATTGGAAAAAAGAGAAGTGGATGTAAAGCTAGATTAAAAAGAAAAAGCCACAAATTGCAAATAGATAATTAAAACTTTACATATTGCATATACAAGAAATAAACTCATTATGCTAATAAATATACCACTCATTAACAATGAAATATATAATTTTCAGTACAAAGCTGTGTATTTGCAATGCAAATTTTTTGTCATTAATTTTATTTCTAATTTGCATGTTATCTGCATGTAGTATGTGATATCTCCATATTGATAAGAGAGATACCACCTCTTCAATGTAAAATATTTGGGCATTTTTAAGCAGCATTATCCTGAAAATCTGTGCAGTGTAATTGTTTCTTTACTGAATATATTTCCTTCTTCCCATCCTCCCAGGATCAAGTAGTAAAAGAAGATAGCATTGAAGCAGTGGGAAAGAAATTACATGAATACAATACCCAATTCCAAGAAAAAAGCCGAGAATATGACAGACTCTATGAAGACTACACAAGAACATCTCAGGTGAGCTGCGTGCGAAACCAGGCAGCAAGTGGGGCTTGTCTTCTGTGGTTTTAGAAGAAAATCACTCTAAATCCATCCATACTGTCTCTGCCAGCTGCCTGCTCCTCCTCCCTTCCTCCACCACTGCCATGGCCCAAAAGAGGAAACATGCTTGATGTGCTTGCTCACTATATTGGAATTGCTTACTCATGTTTGAACCATCGCCACCTGCAACCTAACCCCGTGGTTAAGCCCAGCACCTGCATCCAGAGCAAGCTCAGAACTCCCTTGTTTAGCAGCACTTCTGCACACCAACCTCCTCAGGTCGAGCGCAGATTTTCAAGACATATTTGCAAGAGAAGATTGTGTTTAGTTGTTAGTTTTTGAAGGGGCTGGTTTCAGCTACACAGAGTGGAGAGATGACGTGTAGATATAGCTCAGGACTGAGAAGGTGGCTCGATGCTTCTTGCATTTTAACTGTGTCTTGAAGTGCCACTGGGATTAGTGCTGTTGGTGCTGTTTTATAGCCTTAGGATCAAGACAGCTTCCTACAGTATAGAGGAAATATGCCTAGAAATAACCAAAGCAAAGTCTAGGTATTCAAGAAACCTGAAAGTTGCCTTAAAGACTTGGCTGTCATCTAGCTGTGTAGGTGCAGGAGGATGGAATAGATGAAATCTGGAGATTTGTCCAGCGCTACATCTTAGAACGCAGCTAAACTTGTAAGAACATTAATTGCTAGAAGGGGCAGAGTGCAGTGCCATAAACTTCCAAATCTCACAAATAATATTTATTTATATAAAACAAATATCGAAGCTAGGCCTGTGTCTAGCAGTTTACCTTTCTTGGAAAGCCTCATGGTGTTAGAAGTTTGCACAGGCCTGTTTTCTCTGTTTTGGAAGGCTTTGCAGACAGAATGCCTGCTTAGTAAAGGGCTTGAAGCCATTGTGTTACAGCACACTGAAATCTCTCTTCAGTGATACAAGCCAATAAATCATCCCTTCTGTTTGATAAGAACTGTAATAACAATTATTTTATTTTCAGGAAATTCAAATGAAAAGAACAGCTATTGAAGCATTTAATGAAACAATAAAAATATTTGAAGAGCAGTGCCAGACACAAGAAAGATACAGTAAGGAATACATTGAAAAATTTAAACGTGAAGGAAATGAGAAGGAAATACAAAGGTCAGTATTTGTATTTGCACTTCAAATTGTATGCTTTTTAGGAAAGAAACAGTATGAAGTACAGATCTACCTAAAATTATAGTACAGTGGCAAGTATATGGATGTTCAGTTGTAAGCTAAGCAAATCTTAAGTGGGGTAGAAGTGAGTTTGCTGAATGTGCAGCTACATCTAGAGAAAGAAGCTATTCTTTTAAATATCTACATGAGAAAATAGTAGATGAAGTTGAATATGATGAAGTAGATGAAGTTGTGAATAAGACCTCATGAGAGGTCTTATCTAACCTATCAAATTATGCCATTCAGAATTATGCACAACTATGAAAAGTTGAAGTCTCGAATAAGTGAAATTGTGGACAGCCGACGTAGATTAGAAGAGGATTTGAAGAAGCAAGCAGCTGAATATAGAGAGATAGACAAGCGTATGAACAGCATCAAGCCAGATCTGATACAGCTGAGGAAAACAAGAGACCAGTATTTAATGTAAGTACCATTGTGAATTAATAAAAATATATTTTAAGTTTGTTTTTATTAGCGTGTGACTTCTCTGAATAACAACATTTTTGTGTGATTTTTGTCCAGGTGGCTGACTCAAAAAGGTGTTCGGCAGAAGAAGCTTAATGAATGGCTGGGCAATGAAAATACAGAAGAGTGAGTATTAAAAGATTTAAATATTCCTGGTATTTTAATTCACCTTATACAATAATGAGATAAAGCATATTTAATTCCAGGACCACAAAGAGGAAATCCCAAGCCTAGTTATCCACTGGCAGTGTACACTTAACACATGGCAGCCTACATAATGCAAGCATTAGAAAGGGCTCTTATCTCAACTCCTAGCACCACTGTTCAGAGAGGTGCTTAATTGGGCACCTATATAGCAAAATAGCAAAGCACTGGAACCTAACCAGTGCCTTTTTCTTACCAGTTAAGTAAATATCATAAGGTGTTAGTATCTTGGAGCACCCATTACATGGATGGGTAAATGTTCATGTCTCAGGCATAGGCAGGCACTTTCCAAAGCTCTAATGTTAGTACCATGGTATCAGAGATGATGAAATATGTTTGTTGAAGAGTGATTCTTCTCTGGCTTGTGGTATGATTAATTTTCCTGAGGAGTAGGAGCAGGATAGTATTATGTCATTTGAGCGTTTCAGTTTCTTTTACATTTTTGACTTGGATTTGGCCACTGAGTCGGTGTCGCTTAATTCATGAGTGAAAGGCATCCAGTTGGTGAGAATGTAAACCAGTGTGACTAAATGCAAGCCATAAATTAGTATCCAAGGTGACTTGAAGTCACAGTTTAAAATACTAAATATAGAAGCAAGGAACAAATATATATAAATAAATAAAAAACAGAATAGTGTGAGTAAAAATCCATAAAATCTGTTTCAGCAGTGTCACCTACATCGTTTTCTGTGCATGCTTTTTACACTGCCTAGCTCAGTGACATATAGCAAGAACATGGGCTTGACAATGGCTGTTTTGTGGGCTTACATCCTAGTCTTGTCCACGTTAATGGTCTGTTTTAGTTTGGTTTGGTTTACTGTTATCTTGGAAATCGTGCATCTCTGCTGTGACTGCCTGGGTAGAAGTAAGGTTACAAAACTGGCACGGACACTTTGAAGCCGTGCTATTCACGCAGTCCTAGCACAGGTCAGAGGTGATATCATGGAGAATATGTGGCCACCGGTTTCCATGGGGAAAGTAGTGCTGTTCACACAGCAATTTTGGAGACATCTTCTTTCATGGTGGTCTTTAGCCTGGAGGGGTCTGTTCAACTTTGACTTACCTTGACTTACCAACTTTATAGTTGGTGACTGCTTTGGAAGAAAAACATCTGTATTATGTGCTCTTCTTATAGTCTAGATTTAAGTAGAGAGATCACTGTATCATTTTACCCTTTTCATGCAGCCATCTGCCCTATGAGTAATTAGTTCCTCTACTTGTATGGCTGCTCATAGCTTTCCCAAGCAGTAACTGTAGTCAATATCCTGCATTATTTTTCACTGCTGACCAAGTATTCTGATTTGGAAATGAAGCTGACTCAGAAGGAATTGATTTCACTGGGCTTGCTATTTACCCAAACAGCAAGCACCAGTAGAAGCACTGAGGTGCTCACAGCAGATAGCGAAAGGTAAAACAGCCACTTTGTAATTCCTTCTTCAGATTTACGTGAGTATTTTTAGAAGAAACAAGGACCCAAACTTACATTTTATTTTTACTCAGCAGCCGAAATGTTGCAGTATTTCACGATTCACATGCCCTGATTTACCAGGGAGGCTACTAGCCACTGACTTGCTTTTAAAGTGAAGGGGGAAGTAGCTTGCTCTTGGGTTTTGCTTGGTAACGTGTTTCGTGAATGTATTTTATCCTCTTCCAACAGCCAATACTCCATGGTAGAAGACGACGAGGACTTGCCCCATCATGACGAGAGAACATGGAACGTGGGGAATATCAATAGAAGCCAAGCTGAAAACCTGCTGCGAGGAAAGCGAGATGGAACATTTCTTGTGCGAGAGAGCAGCAAGCAAGGCTGCTATGCTTGCTCTGTTGTGTACGTAGCCTGCTTTGAGAATGATGCAGCCGGGGGGGCAGATGCATGCTGGCATATGCAGGGACCCTTGGGCTGAGAAGCAGATACCGAATTCTGCCTGAGACCACCCAGTCTTGTTGCTGCTCCCCCTCCCTACATAGCTCTGTCCTGTGGCACTCCTGCAGATAAGACTCATGGAGAAGAAGGGGAATTAGAGCAGGGAATATCTCCTGTATGTGCATCAGTAGAGTCCTGTCTGCCTACTGCCTTTCAAAGTTAGCAGATCATCTGGGAATTTTGGCTATACCTAGACTTTTACCATTATCCCAGTATAGAAGGCAGAAATTCCATACAGCGAACAGCCCTGGAAGATGTTTTGCCAATACCTTATCTTCCACTTAAACATGATTGTGCCGTTGACCTAAAACCTACTTTTTGTTTTCCTTTTTAGGGTGGATGGAGAGGTAAAGCACTGTGTGATAAACAAAACACCTACTGGGTATGGATTTGCAGAGCCATATAACTTGTACAACTCGCTCAAAGAACTGGTGCTACATTATCAACACACGTCGCTTGTGCAGCACAATGACTCTCTCAATGTCACACTAGCCTACCCAGTATATGCACAGCAGAGGCGATGAAGATCTTAATACTCTGGGCTGTTTGTTTTTTTTTCTAAAGAAAAGATTTGACAACATTGAGGCCTCTGGAGAGAGAAGGCTCCTTTCAGCCTTACCCGAGAATTTGAGCTGCAGTATCAAAGCTGTCTGTCTTCAGATGGGACTAGAGCTTTTCTTCACAACTGCAGTGGGAGAGATCACAGTATTAAGCTGTGAGCGTATGTTTCTAATCTGAAGTGCTTTCTTTTGATTAAGAAAAGAAGAACACCAGAGAGCGAAATCCTAACCTGATCTCCCTGCAGAGACATAGAGGCCTTTAACCATGGTGCTTGTTTACGACCACTTCTGAAGCTTTACCAGCCAGAATGTTGGATTCTGCAGACCGCAGGTGTCAGAGGTCTTTGCGAGCCGGTTATCGGAATTTCCTGGTCACGACCTGGTTTGGATTTGGTGTTGCTGCACTCGGGGGATCCAGACACACAGCGTTGCGGATTTTTGGGATCCTGGAGAAAGATATGTAGCAGAACGGCACTTTCATTTCTAACGGACACTTTAAAAGGACTTCAGTTACAGTAGGTTGTTCAGAGGAATTGTAAGAGCAAAGTGCCAGGAGGTGTTTTGTTTAGACGTTTAAAAACCCTGTTTTAAGAAAATATTTAAGACTGAAGAAAACAGGACTTTCAATGGCATACAGTATATAATAATGTAAATAGTATTGGATGACTAGCTATCATTGATGGAAACTATCAATACCAAACTGCTTCTCTCTCCCCTTTTCGGTTTGCTGAAAGCTGACTCCTTTGACCGTGCTATGCAATACTCAGTTTTCGTTCAGCTTTGGTCTTGTCTCAAGCATATCTACAGGTTAAGCTTGGTTTTTGTTCTTCTTTCGTTGCCTCCTCCTTCTTTCTTTCATTCTTTTGCCTGAGAATATATTTCCTGATAATAATTTTTGTTACTCATTTTTTGTTTCTTTTTTTTAAGAAATGTACAGGAAGCCAACAAGAGTTGGCTTCAGAATTAAAACTATGAAATATTTTACCATTTTCTTTGTATAGAATATTGAGCTACTAGCTCAAAGTTTAAAAAGTTCATAATTTTTTTTTTTTGACTAAATATTTTGTTGGGCAGTGCCTGATAAGCTTCAAAGCTGCTTTATTCAATAAAAGTATATGAACATTACAAATTATCAATGAGTCCAACAATATTGTTTCAGAGATATCTTTAGAATACGGTACCGTGCTATGTTTGCTTCCTGAAGCATTTTGAACTTCTGTCTTGATTGTCTTTGTATTTGGAAGAAGAAAAGTTGTATCTCCTTCTCTGATAAAGACTGCAGGAAAAAAAAAAAAGGAAAATTTGGCTATGAGGGGAGTTTGAATTTTGAATGAATCCACTCTTCATAGTAAATAAATGACATCTTGACCTACTGTGGCAGAATTTTTGTTAGCATGTCGAGATATTTTCATTTCATATGAAGGAAGTTTCTCTAAAGTATTGCCTAGCATTTTTTATTGTATTGGTGTTGTGGAAAAAAAAATCTCACCTGTGCTCAGAACAATTGGATGCAACGTAGAGCTAATTAAAGTGGGAAAACCTATGTTTTAAATATTGGGCTCTCATAAAAAACATTTTGGATTTTTTTTTTAATAAGTTTATGGACTAAGGCAGTATCAAAGCCAGTATTTGTACAGTTCAGCACCAAAGACTTGTAGAATGGTAGTTTTGTTAAAGGAAACAACTACATGAATCCCACTAACCCCAACTGATTAAGAATTCTGGAGCTCTTCACTGGGGGGGGCTTGAAATGGTTATTAATTTCTCAAACCACACGAAGTAAATTTACATATTATAAACTGATAACATGTTCAGAGAAGTCTTGAAAAAGTTCTGAGTAGGTGGAGATAAGAGTTTGCTCTTCCCTTGAGATATGAAGGGAAAACACATTACTGTTAAAGGCAGTTGTACACTTACAATCTAAAGAGTAAGACCCAAGGAGTTCTCTCATAATAGCTCTGTTTCAGAAATATATGTTTTAAGACAAAGTATGCAGTACTTATTAAGCTATTGGAAATAGTAGGAAATTTGCCAGTCACCAGTATTTTTATATTATGTCTTATTTTTTACATTATCCCTTCATTTCTTTTGTTTTAAGGCTTTTGTTTTTATTTGGATTTTGTGCTTTTTTTTTTTTTTTTTTTTTTGTGGGTTATTCTTGCTTTCCTGTAGATGTAATTTCTTACGGAAACTTGTATCAGGAAACAAGATTCAATCAATGTTAATATATCAAGATGGTCATCGCTTTAAAAAAATTATTCAGATTTTTTTTTTCTTAGTAGAATTTTAGTTTTTATCTCTTTCCTTCCTCATTCTCCCCCGTCTGGTGTCTCAGGATGGGACCCTGTGAATTAGGTTTTCTAGTAACTTTCTTTTGCTATTGAAAGCCCCAGCAGATGTTTGCATGACAGTCAAACTACCGGGCTTAAAGTTAGAAATCAGTGCAGTGTGCAACCATTTAACACCTGTAGCAGTCCAAAGTACTCTTCTGATTTTAATTTTGGAAATTTGAAGTGTAAATTTATACTTCTTTTTTTTCCTAAAGAAAATTACATATAATCAGAATTGATGCTTCACTTAATACTTCTCAAGAAATTTTATGGTTGTTTTCTTTCTAATTTGGATCTAATTTTCCTTATATTAAGAAAACCTGTGCTGTGTCAGGGGGCCGTATCCTTAGCATGCCAGGCCCGTTTTGGGATGCCATTTGTTGCTTTGTTGTGCCATGCTACTCTCTGACAGCCGTGGGTACAGCAGGGAGAAACAGCGTTTGTGCAAATCTGGCCCTAGATTTTCTTCCATTAGCAACAGCAAGTTGAGCAGTGTGTGGTGGACACCAGTCCATAGGGCTTCTCAGGGAGAAGTCCTGCCTACGCAGAGCCTGTGCAAGGCACAGGGATCACTTATGGATCGCGGGAGCCCTCGGAAGGAGCTCTGTGGTGTCCCAGCATGGGTGGCCTCTGTATTCCCGGCCTCTACAGCACGCAGCACTGCGGCCTCCCAAAGGCCCTGTCCCCCGCAGGGCTGGTTGGGCTTCATCGCCCAGATTGTTCACTCCAGTTTCAATTTTATATAAAATGGGCTATCTGGAAAAAAATATATGTGAATAGTACTGAAGAAACATGGTGCTTTTCTGTATTTCTCTTGATATATAGTGTTCCCATCTAATAATGGTTCAGGGGTGGGTTTGGGTTCAGGTGTTTTATGTTCTTTGGAGGGGTGGGATTTTTTTTTTGTTTTGTTTTGACTCCCCGAGTTATGCTGTACTGCAGCAGCACTTTCAAGAAGCTTTTGAAAGCTAGGACACACAGCACAGAGAACCTAGTACTCAAGCAATATGAGGCAAAAATATATGAGTTTTTGCTTTCTTTAATTTGAGATTTGGATTTGAGGGTTTGGGAGTGTGCATGAGTGTGCGCAGTGTGCACATATATGATGTGGATGTATGAATAGATCCTAATATAGGTCCATTTGCACCAAACAACATCTTTTTGCTAAATGCAGTGTGACATCATTAACTTCATTCACACACGTACACACTATCTTGGTGGGTGCAGCATGTTTCCAAATACAGCTAAAAGGCTAAGTTTCTGTGGTTTTTAGTTTTTTTTTAATTTATTTTATTTTAAAGGCTTGTCTGTATGGTTCACTTATCTAAGAAATCTTGTCAAACAATCTGTAAAACCAAATCTTCAAATTTTCTATTTGGTGTCAACTGTTCTGTAGTTAAGAAATGGCTTTGTCTTGTAATTGGCGATGAAATAATAATGCTTGGGAAAATCTTCAGATGCTTCTAATGGGGAAAACTGCCAATTTTCACACAGTGCTTTTGCTATGCATGGTATTAAGTTGGGAAAGTGAATCCTGATACTATTTTTTTTCAGGGTCACTTTAGAAATGGGCAGCTCAAAGCGCAATGCCTCCCATGGGACAAGGTTCCAAAATGCAACATTTTATGTAGAATAATCATGTATTTACTGCCGTAGAAGATTAAATGGGCTGTGTGAGTTGGTAACGTTATATTGCACTTGTCCTGATGAGACTGCATTAGCTGCCCAAGATGCTGCTATTTTTTTTTTATTCTTGTTTTAAAAATAAAGCTCTGTTCTGTTAAATGTGTTTAAAACATTAAGATTACTTTGTTTCAAAATGGTCTTTGAGGAGATGGAGGATAAGGTGGGTTGTAAATTGCCTTTACAAGGCAACAGTGCAAACTTGCCTCCTGGAAATTTTGTTCAAGCATAGAATTGATGGAGCTGTGTCTTGGTTTTAAGTTGCTTTAAAAAATGTACTAAGTCTTCAAGCAGAATAAAGGTTGTTTTGAAACAGTATTTCAATTGTTGAGGCTTCAGTAAGGACTGAAACATTTATTCCACAGACTCCTTTGCTGACTTTTCCTATATCTATGTGCCCTACTTTAAAAATGCCCATAGTGTAGGGAACTAGAAAGCAAATGATTTCAGCTGAGTCACAACCCTTCTGTTTACTGAACAGAATGGAGTAGCTGAGTAACTCCAAAATGGACAACTCCTACCAAGTGGTGTCAAAATGAGAGTGCTCCTCATCTCGTATTCCTGCAAAAGCAGGACAATAGCAGTGATCTATACGCCGTCCCTTTTGCACTGAAGATAAAATTAAAAAACTTTGTGTCCAAACATAATCTGCTCACTGCATGAATGTTCTGGATTGTGAAAACCAACATGAGAATGAAAAAAAAAGGGATAAAGTGAGCAGGAACAGGGCAAGAATCATCTGAATACTGTCTCCTTGCACTCATTATTAGAATGCAGTATCTTAATTTCTTCATGCCCATCTGCATTTTGCCTCCAGAGCTGTTATCCAGGGACACCAGGCAGGCAGTCTAGAAACCGAACAAGATTCCTGTTTCCTTTCCAAAATCTGCCCGTTTTGCTCATTGCAGTGACATAATACCCATGGCTGGCATCTGGGCATCACAGAAGTGTAGTAACTACTACTAATTGCAACAGTCTCACTACGCCTTGGAGGTTTTTATAAGAAATAGAGATTAAATGCTACTCCTACAGTTTTGCTCCATGTATTAAAAAGTAGTGTTGTATCTTAGATGAAAATACTTTTTGCAGCTTTCCTTGTTAGTAAACTGATTGCTTTAAATAGGCACTATTCTTTTAAATAGTTGAGCTCTTTTCTGTTCCCAGAGTATATGTTTAGCAACACAATCTCCTCTGCAGCCCCAGCGCTCAACATCTAAAAATAAGGTTAGTTAGGTCGTGAATCACACATCTTCCATCATCAGCTATTGGGGGGAATTATGACTGGTTGATCATAATCTGCAGACCGGCAGATTTCTGGCCAGTATCATATGCTGCATAGAAATCATACTTGTCAGACAGTGGAAAAAATAGTTTGCAAAAATGTCATTCTATTTTTGTTGTCTATAGACAAACACACTCCTACTTCTCTGCTTTCTTACTGAGATTTGATGGTCATTTTTCACTGGCAATATGAAAAGCTGCATTCAATTAAATTTATCTTTGTGCAGTTGCAAGTGGGTGTGATTTTTTTAAAGAGTGACAAGCGCTTTTGGCATTGGTTTTGTCCCATTTTTTTTGACTTGCGCTATGTCATGTGTGCAGACATTTCTCCACACGGGTCCCTTTGTCCGAGCGAGGAAGGCCAAGGGGCAGAGCCAGTGCTGGGCAGCTCTTGGCTTCCTCACCCTTCAGTGAATGGCCCGGCCAAGGCCTGTCACCCCTGAGGACGCATGAGCCGCTTGCTGAGCCCGCATGGCGGGGAGCAGCTCACGAGCGGAGGTCTCTGTGGAGCAACAGGGCAGCACAGGGGACAGTGCCTGCCTCAGGGAGCAGGACAGCCCGAGCCTGTGTAGGGACTGCCAGCGGCTGTGCACGGAAAGACACAGCCTCCCAATGTCCTTCATGGCCACCCTGCGCTGTCTGAGAAGGGTGGCATGCCGTGCCTGGTGAATGGCAGCCACCCTAAAATGGCAGATAGTGAGCACAACATGGCAGGCAGCGAGACAGGGCCTGGTGAGACAGCCCTCCTGTGGGTCCTATGCTGCCCCTTTATTGCCTACCAACATGACATAGCAGCAGGCAAGAGGAAGATGAGAAGGAAGAAGAGGATGTTCTGGTGACACAGCCTCCTCTGGGGCCTGTGCTTGTCCGCTCAGGGCCAGCCAGCACAACATGGCAGCAGGTGGGAGAAGAATGGTCTGACGACACAGCCCTCCCATGGCACTGTGCCTCTCCTCATTGCTGCAATAACCTCACGGGAGGACCCCTAGGCCACGGGGTTGTGAGGGCACTTCCAAAACCCGTAGCAGTGATATGGCACCTGCCAGACGCCTCAAGATGACTGTATTTACAGGACGCTTGTGCGTGTTGAGATCCCACCACACACTGTACAGCCCGGGGGCTCATCTTTAGGGCAGTGAGGTGGCTGTCTTTAGGATGGTGAGGTGGCTGCCTTCCTCCTTCCCTGATACTTGCACTGTAGGGGCACCTGCTGTGGTCATGGCCTGGGAGACCAAGCCCAGCAACAGCAGCAAGGCCCGGCCCAGGGTGGATCTTCTGCCTCTCCACGGTGCTTGTGCCATGCACCTACCACTGGACCTCCATCCAAAACAGGCCCTACCTAGAATTTGAAAACTGAGAGACTGGTAAACAGTGTCAAATCCTGTCTGTTTTCTTGGCTAGAAATTCATAAGGAAATGAATAACCAGCTG